AATAAATGTTTTGTTTAGATATATAAGTTGCTCGGGTTTTTTCATCTAAAAAAAAGCGACATTAATTTCTTGACGACCTAATATATATCAAAATGTATAAGTTATATAGAATAGCATAGTAAACTCAAAATAATATAGCACATTTTGTAAAGTAGTATTTACCGAACCAAACTCTGCTGAACTGATGTAATAATTATTGTGAATAGCATAAGTGTACAAAATTGTAAAGATAAGTTTTTAGCTCCTGTGATTTTATAATCGTGTTAACATTAATTTAGTGAAAACGATATATTTATTTAGGTAAAGATCATTCAGAATAATAAAAGATATTTAAAAATAATTTAGCTGGTTAGTATTTCATTAAAAAATAGAGATAGTAAGTTGGGTTTAGTGATTAATAGGAAGGGTTATTTTAGTATATAACAATTGAGTTTGTTTGTAGTTATGTACAAAGCTACACAATGGGCTATCTATGCTCTGCCCACCGAGGGTATCGAAACCCGGTTTCTAACGTTGTAAGTCCGTAGACATACCGCTGTGCCACTGGGGGCGTAACAATTGAGTAGGAAACCTGATTGAATGTTCCATGGCATCATGTTTACTTTCAAAGTGTTTAAAACATGCGTATAATGTCGATTTTGATAATTTGTAATGAATTAATAGTTTTGTAATTAATTTGTAAAGCATCGTGAATAAATTTTTAAATGTCAAGAAACTTTTTTTTCACACCTTCTTATACTAAAATGGTATGCAATGTAGTTTTACCTAATCTTCAACAGTTATAATCTTTTCCACCTACTTTCTTGTGCTTTTAATCTGCAAATATATCGGTAGTGAAAAGCTATTCTAGCTTTTGCTAACGAGTCCTTCGCCAAATTCGGAATTGTCCTGGCTAAGCTATAGGTTTAACCTAGTGTCAAATTTCAAAAATATTCGCCCCTGGTATTTTTTCCCTACTTCAAATTCAGTTGATTGGCTTATTTGTCAAAGCCCTGAGTATTTAAACAAATAAACAAAGGCAACTGTCACGCAATGTTGAACACTGCTCATGACTTACTAAGTAAGTCAGAAATACAATCATGTCTGTTGAAAGAAACATAACATATTTGTAAGGTTTGATTTAATACTGGTGCCACTTAAGTAAAAAAAAAAAACGAAAAAAGCAAAGGTAATTTGATATTGAATTCTGTGGTCAATGTAGTTGAACAAATATTATTGAAGTAATTGAAGTTTTAGTGTCGAAATGTATATATAATTTCTACTTGTTTCACAACAACATTAATTCTGAATTACTATTATGTGTAGTTTTCAAAGTACTGACAGAGACAGCAATTAATGAGACATTTTTAGTGAGCCTTTAGGGCTTAAAATGATACTCAAGAACGTAATATGTACATAGAAGATTCAAATTCTGAAAAGTGTTTTTGCATATTGGTGCAACTCAATAAACTGTTTAAAGAAAATACACGCATTGATAGATAGACAAATCAACTAATAGACAGATAGATAAATGATAACTTAGGTAGATATATTTATACGATAATTCTATGAAAAAACTACATTCTTTACGAATCTGACGTGTGAACAAATCTAGACTTGTTAAAAAGTTATGGAAATACATCTTTACGTGTTATAAGTATCTGGATATCTTGTGAATTATTTGACTGCGACGTGTGTGTGTGGCGTCCAGGTAAATTAAATAGACTAAACGTTTCTCTTATTAACTATAAAAAGGTTGAACCTGAAACTTAGTTGTTTGAAAAGCTTGTTTTTATCACTTAGTTGGATGTGGGAACAAGTTCCGAGAAGTGCATGTTGGCAATGATGTAATAAAACTAAATCTCATGTAATTAGGGCTCTAACTGAGAAAAACGCTTCTATCGTTTACTTCATTAGATCAGACCAAAACTTGTATGAATGAAACAGAAGGAAAAAAATAAAAATTTACTAATAGTTAAAAAGCAAGCTAAATATTACAAGAAACAATTAAAACAAGTATTATGGTATTTCTGAACATTCAGTTCGTAGTGATATTTATACTGCAGTGAAATATTGTTATTTGTTAGATATTATATACAAGTCATCTTAAAAAAATATATGTGTGATAACGTAATAAAACGTTTAGGAAGTTGTTTCATCTTCCCTTAATCTCCATCTCACCGGCTCTCACCTCTTTTATATGTGTTATCTATGTTTATAGTGAAATATTGTTATTTGGTAGAAAATATATGTGTGATAACGTAATAAAACGTTTAGGAAGTTGTTTCATCTTCCCTTAATCTCCATCTCACCGGCTCTCACCTCTTTTCTTTGTGTTATCTATGTTTGCAGTGAAATATTGTTATTTGGTAGAAAATATATGTTTGATAACGTAATAAAACGTTTAGGAAGTTGTTTCATCTTCCCTTAATCTCCATCTCACCGGCTCTCACCTCTTTTCTTTGTGTTATCTATGTTTGCATTAAGTAACGTAAATAACAATTAAAATAATAACTCAATTTCTGGTAATGGGATTCGAACCCACATCACAGGGATATAACTAGGGGGCAGTTAATTGAAAATAATAAAATACCTTGAATAAAGTTGATAAATAACACTAAATTTAGATATCTCTAAAACTCTGCAAAATTTTTTCTTACAAGTATGTATCTGTTTCTAAAGCCTTAATTTTTCAAAATAAATAAAATGTGCGAAGTTAAACATTCTAAAGAAAATACATATTCATTAATTAGGCAATGCTATAATATGCTATTCATATCTAATGTGTGCATAGAATTAATTCATAACATTCTTAAGTCTTTCTTTTAGCAAACTGAAAATGACCCAAATCCCCTGTTTTGTAAAATATAGCCATAGGTTAAAGTATGGCATAGGATGGGTGGTTTTAAGCTATCTGAATAATCTTATGGTGATCCTAATATTTCTAACTGTTACTGTGAGTCTGTAAGAAACCTGACTATAAATAGTTAGCAAAAAAGAACAAAAGGTTTGTCGAATCATTTACCGAAATAAATATTAGGAGCTGACTGTCAAGCGGTCAGAAACGTAATTCTTAATACCATTGAATGTTCTTGTCTACAGTAGTATCTTAATTCAACTGTACGTGTTTATTTACCGAACTTGCATTAAATTTCTAAAACTTTTAATTTTGCTTTTCAAGCATGAACTTGGATATGTTTTTTTTCTATCATGTTTTGTATTTTGTTTTTCTACTGATCAATTTTGATGGAAAAAACATCATACATTTTCAATATTCTCTATTCTGTCAGGTAAGATATTTTAAATTATTTATATCAGCGCGTGTTTTATTTGCTTCTTGATATCCATGTAATTATATTTTGTGTTCCGTTAGGTGAAAAGCCTTTCAAGTGCCAATTTGAGGGATGCGATAGAAGGTTTGCTAACAGTTCTGACCGTAAAAAACATTCTCACGTGCATACCAGTGACAAACCTTACAACTGTAAAATCCGAGGCTGTGATAAAAGTTACACTCATCCGAGTTCCTTGAGGAAGCACATGAAGGTTCACGGAAAGTCACCGCCTCCACTCGGCACCATACCTCCGGCTTCCGCTGATAGCAACACTTCGGGGTCAGGCTACGACAGTGACTCTCCAAGCAACACCACCAGTGGAAAATGTGCAAGCCGTAATAGCTTAGTCGGATCAGGTGGAGGACCCGGGGCCACGGGGCATACGGTGTTATCTTTAGGACATAATCCCCCACACAATCTAGGTGGGTGTGGACCTTCAAGTAATTTGAGTGAATGGTACGTCTGTCAATCAGCAGTAGGTATGTCCACCTCTCCTAGTATCGAAAACTCGCCACTGTGTGGAGTAGTAACTCACGGACACCACCTCCACACAGCATCAGCTTACTGACCACCGGTCATGTCGACCAAATTAGCTGCTTTTAACAAGTAAATAGCATTCCGTTCTAGCCCTTCGTTTTCTAACAATGTAAATAGTGCAAGCAAAAAACAAAAAATTTTGATAAGTATTTGGCCATAATCACCCTAACACGAATCTATCCAGAAAAACAAACTTTGCTCGATTTAATTACTTGTATAGGTGAAATATTTATAGAACTTTGGATATCTGTTAATGTGAACAACAAATAGGAATTTCTAAGACAGATGTACAGCGTATTGTATCATAACGAACATGTGAATAGAATTTTAACAAAGTTCTTCTATTTTCCTTTGTTTATTACCGAGGATTTATGTGTTGTTTCAAGTGCACGTGTTTTTGAAAATCCACACACTCGCTCTTTTCACCAACGTTATAAATTTTTGTAGATAAATTACAGTAATGTCTGGAACTTACTCGCGACAGTTTTAATTCCACTTTCCTTGGAGTGCTATCTTGAGTCGAAAACAGCCACGTAATTCTCTGCTTGTATAAACCGTGTGGTCTTCGCTCGTGGAATGTAAAAGTCGCCAATGTGTTTAACAGAGATAAGGAGAGACTGTCTTAACAATGACTAGCTTATAAACAAATCTAATTTTATCAAAATCTACCTAAAGTACAATTAAAATATGTCAATAACTTTCCATAGTTAAAACAATTCAGATTGACAAATTGAACGAACTCTGTCAATTAACAGATTCTAAGCTGTAGTAAGCCGATTAACATAGTTTATGAGTCCTGCCAAATTCCATCCTTAACGGCTAAACAAGTGAAAGCTTATCTCTTAGTTGGTGAAAACATCATTTCAGTAAGTTGAATTATGGCTTCGAAGACTATTCGTTTATCACTTTTATACAAAATTCCTAGCTGTTTTTTTTTCAACTGTTTACTATAGTATTGCAAATGTACAAAAAAAAAGAAAGAAAAAGAAACACCACAAGCTTAGAAATATGTTGTCGCTTGCCTTAGTTTTCCAAATAAATCTTTTATAAAATATAACTCACATCATTATATTCCTTGATTGGTTTAACAATTCAGTCAAAACCAGTAATCTTCCTCATGAATTACGTACTATATTTTTTACACTTTATACGATTGCATTTACAGACCACCGTTCTACTTTTTCTTTTCATTGCAATTTATCTCCTAACCGATCGTCATGAGGTTTTTATGCCTTGTCGGAGTCTTTCTTGTTTTTTTTTTTTCCCTTTTTCTCTCACATACACACGTCTCTTGTTTTAAGTACCACTGTTTGAACACTGAAGACCATCCAGTTTGTCCGACGGACTACAACTGACACTTGAACAAACAAACATCTTGACATGTTGTACATGATTACAGAGTTTTTTCAAGAGAGCAGGATCGTGAGATGTCTTGAATTCTTCCTTAAGCGCTTTACGAATTGTCAACGGTTGTGAATCAACAAACATGTTGAACACTACCATTTTCTACTTCACTAACGTCATGAGATATCCAAGAAACAACCAGAAAAACAAAATCCTTGAAAATAAGAAATCTGTCGAAATTGTTAGCAAAGCTATGAACGTTGGTTTGAATATATATATGTTTTAACTGATTTAGCCTGCACCTTTTTCACTTAACTCTTTTTTTCGTTAATACCAAGGTTATGAAAACAAAGCAGTCTTGTAAAAAATAGCATTTCTGTATATACAAAACGAGTTGATTTTGTTATTGAGTTGTGTTGTGTGCTTACATATATATATGAGTAAACTTATCGATATGTCCAATGGCGGATGTAAAAGTTGTCCTGGCCTTCTTTTTTAGGCGCCTAAAATATTAAAACACAAGTCCAATCATAGTGGAAACAAAAATTCACTAAGACTAATTTTCTAATAAGATTTTGTATTTTCAAGATAACGCGTGACTTCACAATATGCAGTTCGAATTGCATCTGATCAGCGCTGTCCTCGCCAAAATGTCAATGGTAAAAAATAACACCCTTAGATAGTTATAGACTTTTTCATAAAAAAACGCAAAATTACAACAGACCGCTAGAATGTAACCGTTATTACACATTATTACACAGTTCTTATCATGAACTTCCTCGAGATGTTTTACATACCCATCTCTTTGGGAAATCTTGATTCTGTTTGTTTGTTGAATTTTCGCACGAAGCTACTCGAGAGGTATCTGCGCTTTCCATCCCTAACTTAGAAGTGACAGACTGCAGGGAAAGCAGTTAGTCAACACTACCCATTTCCAACTTTTGGGCTGCTCTTTATCAATGAACAACGAGATTGACCATCACATCATAACGCCCCATAGGTGAAAGTGCGAGCATGTTCGGCAACAGGTTTCGATCCCGCGACACGCGGATTGTGAATCGTAAGTCCTAACCATCAGACCATACCATCTTGGTTTTCTTCTTAACTTTATCTATAGTCCTCAGACTATTCATATTAGTGTGTGTGTGTTTTCTTATAGCAAAGCCACATAGGGCTATCTTGCTGTCTCCACAGAGAGGAATCGAACCGAAGACATACATATTAGATACCACTAGCACGAAATATCATCTATCTGTACATGCAAAAAGCCTTGTAAGAAATCTTCTAAAAAGACCGTAATAGATAATTGTTTCCTTTTGGTTTTCAAATATTTAATGAAGTTCAGTAAGATGGCAAAACGCCACTATTTAATCTACTGATAGATGAAATTATGAGTTGAATTTTGTATCTAAGGCCCTGTTTGAAATAATTAGTGGGTTTTGAATATGTATCCTTTTTCTCGCCAAGTGTTGTCCAAAGCTGTGGTTGTAGAAAAAAAACTTGTACAGCGATGTATATAGTACTGGTAGTGGAGCTAAAATCGGTTTCTTGAAACTGCTGCAAACGTGAAGGCAATCAGTTATCTTCTCTTAACCGAATAGCGCGACTGATCGCGTTATAATACGTTTTATAACACGTTACTGAACATTCAGAGCGTGTTAAGTGGTATATTGTGTTCTTTCTTGTGGGCCAGTGCTCTACCAGTCTGTGGATAAACTTCTTATGATTTCGTCCATGTACCCATTATAACGTACTATAGTGGATCATACTCAGGGCGTGAAACTTTATAAGCGAACCTTGAGAAGAATAGATTGTACTCTTGAATAACTCAGTGGTGGCCTTGTCAGTTAGAAATCCTTGGCTAAGGTGCAGGAGTCTCATTTCATTTATCTGGTTTTTCATTTAGCATTCAATATTTTAAGTGAAATGAAATTTTAGGATCTGAACTTGAAACAAGACTTCTGTATTTACATAAAATTTAGTGTTATAAACTAGTTGAACCAGTGTAGTAAAGTTAGTATTTTTCTAAGGAAATCATGATGTACATAAGTATATGTATACATATAATCAAAATACATACAAGTTTCCACCTGTGGATACAAATAACAAAACACACACACATATATATACCTCCTAATAACAAGTTCAACGCATAAGTTTATATAATCTTAATTCCAAGAAATATTAAGAAATAACTCTGAAAATAATGTTAACATCGAGGGTAGGTACCCAGCTGAGGACTCAATGCATTCTAATCATTATATACTTTAAAGAACAAGTGTATTATTTTATTTCTATTCAGCTTTTAAATAGAATTGTCTTCAATATTGTGTGGAATTTTAAGATTTTTTTAGTTCTGACTTGTATAGTTAGCTTACGTTTTTTTCTATAATCGTTGAATATATTTACTAAACAGATAACAAAAAAAAAAGAGTCAATAGTTCTGTAGCGTTTCATTGAATATTAGTCCGGTTATATTAGTTTTATAAATAGTATATGTAGACACATACAGATTTAAACTGCAGTTGAACACAAAGAAAATATTTTTAGCCGCGGCATAGCGGCTCATAGAATGGCTCTGTGCTTGTTTGTTTTTCAAGTACAAACGTTTAGCTCATGGCTCCGTCACCTCTCAACCGATTTGAGTTCTAATTACAGTTTTGGACTCGGGATGTATTGATGTATTTGACCACGCTCAAGATCTCATAGATTAGTTTATCATAATTCTGCCTAAAATAATTTCAATTTGAATATAGGCTGATAGAGATCCTGATGAGTAATAAAATCAAATCGGGTATACGCGCGTCCCACGCTTGGTATTGCTGGCGAACAAAAATATAACTGATAAAAATGGAAAACAAAAACGGTCTTATAGATTAATTTACTTCAATCCTGCCTAAAAGAATTTCAAGAGCCGCGGCTATTGAGGGTTCCCTCTTGTTATACAAAATACTAATTATAATAAAAGATTAATGCAAACATAATTCTGCAACAGTAGGTATAATGATAACTGAGGATGTAAGAACCGAACTATTTGGTATAAAAACTCTGAGAAGAACGTTTATAGGCAAGTATTTTATTACAAAAGAGGCTTACAAACTGGAAAAGCAACATGAATGATTTTTTTAGGCTTACGCTCAGCCTCAGTTTGGCAACTGTTGTATTATTTTATTCTTATACACATGTTAGACATATATTTATATCTCCAAATTTTTCTTTATCTTGATTCCTAGTTAATCATGGGAAACGGTATTCATAGAGTCGTAACTTTCTCGTATGTGCAGTAAGTAGAGTGCTTGTACTAGGAAAGTGACCTTTTGGACCCACCCTTCATTTGGTCACCAGAGATAAATAGAAAAGTAATACACCCATTTAGTTCCATTGGCCTTGTAAGGAGGTTACTTTGTCTGATTAATTTTATGTTTATTCTGTTGTCTTGGATCTGACTGTATGAATAGTCTGTGAGTTTATTATTATTTTCAGCCTTACTCTGACTTTCGTACTGATAAGTCATTGTTGAACTTACTCAATTTTTTCCAACTGATGAAGGAAACGGTTTCGTCTGTAAAATAAAATTCAGTTTCATAAGCCAACGGTCATTGCGATGTATATCGTCTGACTTACCACCGGACCATAAAACTGATATACAAATATTTGTGATTTTATTTACGTATTTTGTGTAATGTCTATTATTTCACTTATCCAGCTCATACATATTAGATACCCACATCTGTCTTGCTATTTACTCAGAATTTCAAGCTACTTTGTAAGGAATTAACTGCCTGTTGGTTACATAATCCATAACAGATTACCACAATGACGAATAAAATGTAATGCCGTGATTTAAGGTGAGTAATTTGAAATACCTATGTACAATCCTTAAGCTGTTGTATGCTTTCTTTTTTTATCTCAATACACTGAAGCTTGGACTATGTATCTTTGCCATAAATCAAACACATACAATACTAAAGTTAGGCTATGGTCCTAGGATAAATGAGAAGAAGCCCGATTTTGAAACTGCAGTGCAGACCTGTATTCCACTCATTTACTCTTAGGCCTCCTACAGAGAATGTTGTTCCTTGATCCATGTTAGCCAGCCCATGACATCTGATGTGGAGGACATGAGCAGGACAAGACGACCTATAGGTGTCAGCAAGTCAGGGCACACTAAGGCTGGTGAACTACCATAGTATTCCTAAGTTACCAACCTCTAAAGTGCTGGTTTCTTGAAATGTTCACGGGCAGTGAACTAAAATTATGTGACTTTATGGTGAATATTGGAGAGTCAGAAATACATGACATTACCCCCCAAGTGGAGTAGCCTATAGCAGAGGTGATACATACACCTGCAGAGGCAGTGTATAATCCAGATGTCACCTACCCCCCAAAATTCAAGTCATGAATCAGCACCATTGTTAGCATTCCTTAGCTAAACTGCATCAATGAGTTAACATACAGCTTCCAGAACATCTGAGGTTACTAGTAGGAGATCATAGTAACATTCTAAATATACATCAGCAAAGATAACTTGGTAAGATACTGACAGTATATACCAAACTGTGGGTAGGACCAGATAGTCCCGAACAAACAAACCAAACTCGTTACGAGACACATATCCTATAAAGAACTACCATACAGGTTTCACTGGAGCGCCAGAGGGTATGTCCAATAGTGAGAGAAATCAAATGCTGAAGAAGATTTTATAAGGCAATTTGAAAGTTACCTTGTTTTTACATCTTGCCATCGACATTTTGGGGCCAATGTTCATAGGATAATATGATAGCTGTATACTTCCAGTAAAAGTGACTCGCGTTTTATGGGGACTGTG